CGGCTAAAAACGCCTTAGCATACATGGTCGTTTTTTTTCGGCTAAAAAGGCCTTACTATACATGGTCTTTTTTTTCTGCTAAAACGCCTTACTAAACATGGTTGTTTCAGGGTCTTTTTTTTTCGGCTAAAAACGCCTGAGTATACATGGTCTTTTTTTTTCGGCTAAAAACGCCTTACTATACATGGTCTTTTTTTTTGGCTAAAAACGCCTTAGTATACATGGTCTTTTTTTTTTCAGCTAAAAACGCCTTACGATACAGGGTGGTTAAAGAAAGAATGGACATTGTTGCTAATACCGGGGATCGAACACCCAACCTCTGGGCTGGGACTCGGAAACTTTACACGTGAGCCATGCTCCCACACAGATGCATTTGTTTTTTTGGGGGTGTCTTTCCTCAAACAAGCCTTGCTAAACCGGTGGCAAAAGAAAGAAGGGACATGGTGTGGTTAAAGAAAGAATGGACATTGTTGCTAATACCGGGGATCGAACACCCAACCTCTGGGCTGGGACTCGGAAACTTTACACGTGAGCCATGCTCCCACACAGATGCATTTGTTTTTTTGGGGGTGTCTTTCCTCAAACAAGCCTTGCTAAACCGGTGGCAAAAGAAAGAAGGGACATGGTTGCAACCACCGGGAGTTGAACACCCAACTTCTGGATTGGCACGCCATCACTTTACCCCTGAGCCATGCCACCGCACTGATGCATTTGTTTTTTTGGGGGTGTCTTTCCTCAAACAAGCCTTGCTAAACATCGGTGGCAAAAGAAAGAAGGGACATGGTTGCAATCACCGGGGTTTGAACACCCAACCTCTGGATTGGGACACAACCACTTTACCTCTGAGCCATGCCACCACACAGAAATATTGGTTTGTTTTGTGTCTTTCCTCGAATAAGCCTTACTATACATGGTTAAAAAAAAGGAAGTGTCATAGTTGCAACAACGAGGAATCGAACACACAACCTCCAGATTAGAACATGAGCACTATCCCACTGAGCCATGCATCCACAGAGAAGTGTAGGTTGGTTTTGTGTTTTTCCTCAAATAAACTGTACATGGTGGCTAAAGAACAGACAGGGTTGCTACCACCAGGTATCGAACTCCCAACCTATGGTTTGGGACTCCATTACTCTACCCCTGAGCCAAAGCACCACGCAAAACTGACTAAACACCTTACTATACATAGACAATTACATTTTATTCAACAAAACGTTCCCCAGGGTCACACTCGTATCCCCTGGCATCACCCCGCGAGGGGAGTGGGGGTGAGAAGGACTGCCTGCGGGTTCTAAGTGATGATCGCATTTTATGGTTTTGGTGCTTTGATAAACGCCGTCTTTGTGAGCGGAAGTCAGACGGAAATGCTGCAACCAGCCGCGAGAGCACATTCCAGCCTGGGGAATGTCATTAGGACGTGTGACATACCGAAGGAAGATGCTGGAAAACGCGCTCGAAGCGACCCGGCGGACAACCTTTTCTCCAAATTGGGAAAGACGTCGATTGTTGCGCTAAATCCGCCTGCATGAAACCGCCGAAATGTAGTGAGTGATTTTAATTTCTCATCCCCTTTTTTGAGATGCACATGGTATGACCATATAAGGTCACGCTTCCTGTCCGCTCCCGGGCCGATACGTCGCGGCCTCGGCTTCAAAAGCGCCTTTTGTTCAATGCGCAAGTCGGGCTGACGACTTCCGTGGCCGTCGTGACGCTTTTCTGTCCCGTGTTGGTTCTAATCGACTCATCAGTGACAATTGGCCGCGTGAGGCCCGATCTTTGTGTACTTGCGGGCGGCGGCGGCTGTGCCGCGGGTGCGTTCCCGCACGTGACGTGTAGTCCTTCCAAACTCGCATAGCTGAGTGGTGAGCTTCCAGTGAGGCCACACTCTCGCATAGTTACTGCCTGGAACGCTGCGGAAAGTGCAGCCAAGTGGGCCTCTGACGGTACACTCGATGGCGTTCGAAATAAGCCGTCACTGGAGCGGTGCACCACAAAAAAAGCAACTGCAGACAACGCCACTGACTACCCTCGCCGCTGTTCACGTTCGCTTCTGTCTCTGAACAGATCTGCCACCCGTCTGTTAGTTCGTGCGAGACGTATCTGGCCCCGGCCGCTTCCATTATTGGTCGCGACAGTGCAAACCGTTGCAATGCGTTGGGCTGCGGGGAAAGCCGATTCCTGGAAAGCTCTTTTTCCACGGCTGCGCATGTGGCAAGCCACGCGGCTCTTTGGCTCTGGCGAAGAGGGCGTGGGAACTGAGACATCCCACCAATCTTTTTTTTTTTTTTTTTTTTTAATCTTTATTGAACAATTTTTTTTTGAAAAGGAGGCCAGCTGCTCCCCTGCATGTGGGAAAAAAACAAAAAAAAAAAAAAAACGCTTCTGCAGCCTGTGAAGGGTCTGGAGAGAGAGCAGCTGGCTCATGTTACTCGATGACCAGATCAAACGAAAGAAGCAACAGCACGTGCGGGTGTGCACATGCATACTGCTGTACTATACACTCAGTAACCCCGTCCGCCAGCGTCACCGCGTGCGGCTTGAACGAGCCAAGGCGGGAAGTCAATCAGGAAGTGCTTGCAGGTTCATTTGTGACAAACCGGTGGCACATTTGTGAATGAAGACGTTGCCTTGGGGCAGGTAAGGCGTCAAGTGAGCGGGAGGGGGAGGGAGCGGTGAAGCGGGGGAGGACACGTGGATTTTTTTTTTTTTACTCAATGCACTTCTGGTTGTCAAGTCTCTACGAGAGCGAGCACATTTGCCTTCGGGTTTTAAAGAAGGAGTTTTCAATTTTCAGAAGACAGAGAGAAAAAAAATCCCCCAACACTTTTATTTGTCGGTACAGGATGACAGAAGTGAGTGAAATGATTTTTTGAGCGGAAAAAAAAAAAACAAAAACATTCCTCTCTGGCCCCATCTGAAATTTGATTAGTAAGAAACCGCCTCGCTTGAGGAAAAACAGCTCGAGACACATTTGCAAATGAGATTGCAAAGGTCACTGCCAACTTTTCATAATACATCTTTGTCATTGCATGATATCACTTATTTAAGAGGCAAATGAAAAATGGATTTGACTGAAGCCTATTTGACTGATGGCAGCCGCCATTGTTGGCTACGACAGCACGAATGGCGGTTAGCCTCGCGGGACATCAACACTCTCGGTGCTTTGATGTTCTTTTTTTTTGTTGAACGCTCGTGTGGCTCAAACTACCCCAGACAAATTCCGTGCGTGTTTTTTTATATACTTGGGACTGACTCTGACGACATTGTTATCATCATTTGATTGAATAAATCCTCCAATTAAACAAGTAATAACATTTGGAACAATCGCATTTGAAAACTGAAGTCAGACGTTCCCTGAAGGCGACGCTTGGTGACACATTTTCGAGACTCCGAAACATTTATGGACGTGTTGAACAATCGGTGAGTCGGGCTGCGCGCAAAACTGTCAGTTCGGGTGAGCCCCGAAGGCAACAAGCAAACTGTGATCGTAAATTACCGATCATTTTTGACACGACGATACAGTCATTTGCATTACTTCTAAAATGACTTGGTTTCAGTCTCCGGGCGCAACACACGCGCTCATGAAATTAATCTTAGCGGGGCAATCGTGTGAAGAAGTGTGCCAGCCACCAACCCTCGAAAAATCGGGTCCCTTTAAGAAGCACAGCGTGACAGTTGTAACATTTGGCTACGCGCAAACCGCAAAGTCGTGCAAGCGCGGGGCCAATTTGGGTTACCAGCGAGTCGTCTCCAAGAAAGGGGGAAGTTGTGACTATTAAAAGAAAGGAAAAAAAGAAAAAGAAAAACAAGCAGCCTACGCTGACGGGAGTTGCGCACGTTCCATGAAGACGGCGGTGAAAACCGCTCGCTCTTACGCCGCTGCTTTGCATCCAGCCACCACCCCCCCACACCAGCCCCCACTCGAACCTGAAAACAGAGACCAAAAAAAAAAGTTTCATTTCAAACCACTTTCACACAGTCATCTGCCACACAGAAAGGACGCCATGTAAATGTGTAAAAGGTCACTGACGCATCTGCCATTAGCATGCTAGCTAGGGACTCTCCCTCCATCTTTAACGCTCGTCTTAAAACTCATTTTGTTCTTTGGCTTTTGACTCAGCATGAGACTTGATTTTTAGTTACCTGTTTCTGTCATTCTTACTGTGTTTCCTTATTAATTTATCGTTCGTTGTTGTCTGAATTATTTTTGCTCCGTGTACCGCACTTTGTATATAGCGGTGGTTGTTTTCAAGTGCGCTATAAATACAGTTGAGTCGATGATGTCGCCTCTCCCCCTTTTTGAGTGGCATTTGTCACAAGCGCTACTCCTATTTTTGTAAATGGCTTCTAATAACACGCACGCGCGCGCGCGCAGCGAGATGACGACGAACTCCTTGCCGGTTTACGAGCGGCATTCACGGCACGAGGTTTGTTCAAATGAGAGGCGTTATAATGACATCCAAAACACGGCCTCCGCGAAGCGGAAATTAAGCGGAAATTTCTTGTTCTCGTTGTGAGAAATGCGTTTCGTTTCTTGGCGGATTCCCCGAGCAGCATCCCATGACATTTTGTCGACTTTTTTGCATGAGATTTTGCGGAGGGACCGAGGGGAATCCCACCCAACCAACGTCAAGTCCACGAGTCAATTGAAGGCGCTCAAAAAAAAAAGGGGGGGGGGCGGCGGAAGAAACAAACTAATCCACAACAATGCTGCTCTCATTGTGTCACAAGACATGCAGACTTCAGATTTGGAACGTTCAGCAGCTTGCCGTCAACTAGCTAACAAGATCACGCAAAAAAAAAAAAAAACACCATTGAAAAGGATTTGGCACGGCATTTGGGAAGAACCCACACAAATATTGTTGCGGATTAGGACATTTTTTTCATTTCAATCCCTTTACAGGATTTTATTTCAAATTGACGGTGCAGAGAATGATTTGGTGAGACCAACGCTGGGACCGCGGCGTGTCACAAAAGTGGACGAGGGGCCCCCCAGGCCGTGACACGGGTGCAGCTCAACGTGATCATGCGGAGGGAGAGGCCCTCATCGGACCCGGAATCACTTAGCGTGCCGCGTGGCGTCAAGGTCACGACCTCCCCCGGAGCTCATTAGCCATGTGGATTTGCCCACAGCTGTTAGCGGGCATCAAGCCTGCGGGGAATACTTCTCCCGACTTATTACATTTGAAAACCGACGGCGATGGTGTTTTCTCCTACTTCAAATTGCCATGTGACTTTTTCATTCTGGGCTGTTTGATGAGAGTTGGGCGATATTCAGCCGTTTTTTTTTTTTTTTTTTTTTTGACGTGTGACTTTTTCATTCTGGGCTGTTTGACGAGAGTTGGGCGATATTCAGCCTTTTTTTTTTTTTTTTTTTTTTGACACCGCTGGAGTGGTGAGCTGGGCGGCGGCCATCTTGACGCGCGTTCGGAAATTCACTTTGCGGCTCGGAAGACACTCAGAAATTGACTCTGCAGACGCTCAATCTCATCAGAGTGAATTTCCCAATGGCGTCCCTTGTCTCATGTGTTCTCATGTGGTCTCAGGGGGCTGCCACGTGACGAATAGAATGTCGATCCGCGTGCAGTTACAAGAAACATGACAGCCTATGATGAGTTTATTTTTAGTCATAGTGAGTTGAAAACACAATCGCACATTTGTAAGTGCTATTAAAAAAATCATAAAAATTGAATAAATATCCCATTAGGTCCTCGTGCGCTGCATTTATTTATGACGGCGTTGAAAGCGACACCGTCATAAATAATTATTTTTAGACGCGGCGGGATACCGCACAAGCCTACTGATGACATGATGTGAAAAAAGTTGCAAAGAGAGGCCGGGAAAGTCGACTGCACTTGAGATCGAGCGATTACAGCCGCGCAACAATTCATCGACAACTAAATCGGGTCAGTGTCTTTTCCAGTCGAGTATCTTGAGTACCGATTGCTACCTCAGCTGGCAAGTTTGACGCGCGGCTGCCCCCC